GTACAGCCGTCGCTACACAACACCAAACGGAATTTTAGGTCGTGACCTTTTTAGTAAAAAAAAACATACTTATTTAAAAATATTAAACATATTTATGAAAAGACAATTTTATGTTCGAATAATTGACTTTAAAAAAATATATATTACCGATTTCAATACGCCTATATTAAGATGAATTATAGGAAAGGCACACGGAGGTACTATCACTCCGGTCGAGATACCCCTAATGTACCACAGCATGGAGCTCCAACAGCTGGCCCAAACAGCTGTACATCCCGTCTTTATAATCTTGTACGAGGTTTTTCCCTCGCCTACAGAAGTTTTCAAAGAATTCCGTTCCTGGGTCGGATGGATGCTTTGTCCCGTAAACAAATCTTAGACTCGCAGTCTTTATATACCTGCCATTATTGTTTCACCACAAACCTTATTTTTTTATGAAAAAGCAGTTCCTATCCCAAAATTCTAGGGTAAAGGCTTTTGCTGCTCCCCAAAAGAATAGGCTAGAAAATTAGCTAACATCATCCTTATAAGTCTATACTAGTCCACTGCTGGACATAGGCCTCTCCTTAGAAAGGAGGTTTTGGCCTACTATACCACGCTGGCCAGACGGCTGTTGATGTGATCCTTATAAGTACCTCATCTGAAGATGGAGACTGCCCATAACCCGAAGGTACAAAATACTGGTCGTTTCCTACGTGTCAATTAATCTATTTAAATATTTTCCAACTCAATTTCAAATTACTGAACACAAAGTCCGTGTGGTGACGGATTAAGAAATCAGAGTGTCACCACCCCTATTCATCCTGTGGGTGTCGCAAGAGCCGACTAAGGGAGCTAACTACGCAGGACAACAGCACTGCAGAGAGAAGGAAAAATTTAACACAAACCCTATACCAACCCGTCTGGCCAGCATGGTATAGTAGGCCAAAACCTCCTTTCTAAGGAGAGGCCTATGTCCAGCAGTGGACTAGTAAAGGCTGTTGATGATGATGATGATAAACACAACTGTTTCGTTGAAAAGGCCCAACTGGTTTTAATGACGTCAATCAGCAACAAGGTCCTAAGCACTGACCTCTGTGTTGCTAAGTAGCTACTTACATAATTATTAAATCTTTCGTATCAGTCTATCTAGAATCAATGTTATAACTCAACTGCTTTTTGATGTATTTTTTTCCTATGTGTTAACACAAAATCAATCCAGACATCAAGCAGTTATATAATACCTGGCATACTTACATACAAATTTAGATCAAAAACAAAACACTCCTTTCAGTTTGACACAGTCGTTCAAAAATCATCAAAGTTATTGTTTAACGGTGTCTGGGAAGTTATTAATAAACTTGCGCTTGGAAATGTATACAAGAATGATAGTCGCAAAATTTAATAAGCTGTTTAAATTTATGTACATGTATTATATACCTCGATATAATACATAAATATACGGCCTTGAATTCCTCTCGTTTTTTTATAGGTTATGTATTATAGCAGAGGCTCTGCCTAGTTTGGGATCAGCCGTGTGTGAGATGTGTAAGGTTATTATACTACTCACGAATTAAAAGAAACAAACAAAAACTATTTATTTTTTGCCGGCTGTTACCGAGTAGCAAATTGTCGTGTCGAAAATAAAAAAAAAGCGTTTTGAAGCTTAAAGATTCTCGTTTTTGCATTTAATTGCTACACGGGCTCGGCATTTTTAAATAATACAACAGAAATGTCTCTTGTACGAGTCTCAAGTGGAAAAACCATAACTCCACGAGCACTTACGGGTAGCTTGGACGTGCAATCCTAAAGATTGGTTTATTCGGAACCCTAATTTAAAGCCGATACTTAACATCACACTAGTGACTGACAGTCTTGACAGCGCAAGGAAAATGGTTCAAAAGGCACTGATTGACAACAATATTAACTTAGACTTAGGTGTAACTTTCTTGTACCTATTTGCAAAACAAGTAGTGTCAACCTTAGATGAGAAGTAAGAGTCTTATGGCGTAGTGATATCCGAATCAGGAAGAAACATAAACCCATTAGATCTACTTACAGTCAGACAAGAAGTAGTTAAACGTGAATTTCCGGCAGTAGAATAAGTAACTCCAGAAGATGACAAATGGATGGCTGGTGCACTGCTTGCTTATTACAGGCTTATGCGGGCAAATGTCGGAGACTACTTAAGTCAAATAGCTAAACGGATCACTACACAGCTCAAATCAATCAAATCTTCTGCATCCGATGTAACTGACATTGTTGACATGTAGCTTGGTTGGATGAATGATAAAAGATACAATATTTTGGTGGTAGCTTATGACATGTTCTTCAATAGATTTCCAAAACCTACGAGTTCTAAATTCAGGGATTGTGCAGCTCTGATATCGTATGGATACATTCTAGAACTCTGATGAATGAATGCCCAGAACGACAGACCTGGGCCTCATTATGTTCACGCCAAGCCACTGTCATACCACTGACACGCTATTGAGATGCCATCGAGTGGCCATTGACAGTGACAGTGGCTTGGCGTGAACATAAAATAGCAGAATTGAGGCCCTGATGGAATGGGTATTTATAGAGCATGTAGGTAACGACATTGACAGGATGATGGTTGATGATGAGGAGTTAAATGATCCTTCCTCCTATTTTCCTTACCATATTCACTTAGGTAAAATCTGCATTTTCAGCTACAGCCAATCCACATTTTTTCAAGTGGGTTCATTTGTCTGGAGCACTTATGAGGTCAGTTAGATCTATAAATGCTTCATTTGACCGACTCTAGATCTGTGGATATTCTGGCGAATGCATCGTGCCTTGCCTATGCATACACTTACACCTTCAACTTCAACAAAGTGTATACTACCACTGGGGAGGAAGTTGCAATTGACGAGTAAGATGAGAATATGGGGACGATAAGGATGCAACTCTCAAGTCAATATCACCAGACGACTGGTTCATTTTGGTTAAAAGCACAGATGGCCAACTCCTCAAAGAAGTCAAACAGTATGTTGCAAAGGTTGTGAGAGAAATAACAGTGCGGGAGTAGTCTTTTTTTAAAAATTAAATTAAATAACAGATGCCAGGGATATCTCACAGTTATCGGATCAATATTTCTTTAAACTTCAATTCATGTTACCGCTCAGTAATAATTTAGTTAATTTTTTAGGAAGTTTTGGTTTTTTAAACTAAATAAATTGCATAAAAACAATATTATTAGCCTTGGTGATGCTTTTATCTGTGTTAAAAAAGATATTGCGCATATAGGCGCGGCTTACTTGAATGAAGGCCTAATGCAAAAAAAAATGATAAAAATAAAAACTATTCGAAAGTAACTATATAGTGTTTGATTTCCATGAACATGAGTAAAACAAAATTGCTCACAAACTCTAAAGTAACACCTATAAAATTGGACAACCAACCACTAGAATATGTACAGGAATATATCTACCTAGGTCAAAAAATCTCTCACGAAGAACAAACAACTAAAGAAATAAATAGAAGAATAGCAAATGGATGGAAAAAGTACTGGTCGCTGAAAGAAATTATGAAGTCAAACGAGCTAAACATGTCTACTAAAAGAAAGGCTTTCAACACCTGCATACTTCCAGTTTTACCTATGGCTGTGAAACATGGGCACTCACCAAACTCCACAGAGCTAAACTGGAACGTTGTCAAAGGGCCATGGAGAGAAGCATGACAGGAACAAGGAGGATGGACAAAATAAGAAATAGTGAAATAAGAGAAAAAACTAAAGTTACTGACATTCTCACTCAAATAGACCAGATGAAGTGGAGATGGGCCGGACACATAATTAGAGACAGGCATGGCAAATAGAGTACGACTATCTGTGACTGGTACCCCAGAGATGGCAAACGTAATAGTGGAGGCCAACAAGCAAGATGGGCAGATGATCTGAGGCTAACAGCTGGAAACCACTGGAGAAGGGTAGCGCAAGACAGAACCCAATGGAAAGTGCTAGAGGAGGCCTATGCCAAGAGGCACTCTGAATTGCGAGATATTTTATAGACTAATCTCTTATGAACTGTTTAATAATGTATTTAGTTAATTCAGAATAAAAGGGCTTATTATTATTATGTTTGATTACCAACAAATCACAGGGCAGACTTTCTAAGAAATCACTGGAGTGTTAACTTCTTCAATATACAGGAACAGAAACTTTAATTCAAATAAAAAGAATAACATATTTATTTTTAAGTTCCTTTTGAATGAAAGAAGAGATATTTATAATAACTCTCATATACATAAAAGTCACATTTACTAAAAATGCTATAAATACCATACTTTTACCACAAAATAAAATAAACGGATCTTTTTTCTAATCACTACTAAGGCTACAAAAATTTTATGTTTCTTGCGGATAGAAATTATACATCTGCATTTTTTAGCACTGGGTTTTTTTTTTATAAGCACGGATCATGTTTTTAAATTCATAAAAGAAATGGAGGAATGTCTATCCTTTACAATATAGCTAAGGCAGTGGCTTTGCCTGTTTTATACTTAATATAATCTATCACTTTGCCAAATTTCATCTTGATTCATTCAACCGTTCCGGCATAATTCAGTAACGAACATCCATTCCAACGTTTTCATTTAAAATTATTGAGAAGCCTTCGGCCTATTTAGAGGATTTTTTATAAAAATGCCAATTGACTAGTTTATGGAACGTGAAGACCTTTGAGAGTAGTGTCTGATGCAGAACACCTTCTCATAACAACGTCTCTCTAACTCTTTCGATATATACATCATTCTTTATTGTACTAAACAAATATTCTTTAAGAAACCTCAGACTGCTACAGTCATTTAGAAAAGTAAAATAACGTGAATATGTTCAGGTTAAAAACTATCCAAATACTCGTTACATGAACAACATGACTATCATTTTAAGACCTGAAGTGGTTAAAAGTTGATAACAGCAATTAAGCTCACAAAAAAAGTGATAGCATATAGAATATTAATCCTATACGAACTATTTGAACTAAATTTTCAAAAGCCAGTCATCTTGTCTGTGATTTAGCTGCCACAGATAAAGTTTGGCCCACATATACTTTTTCCCCAGACTTTATATCAAACGTGAAATCTTTGGGAGCTTCGAATAACAAAATAATTGTACTTCCCATATTAAATTGTCCAAAAAGCTCACCTTTCTTTAACGGAACTTGTCCAAGTTCTAATTCATTAATTCTATTACGTTTACCTTTTGTATTTGTTTGTAAATCAGGATCATTATATATTTCAATTGAACCGACATTCGTTGCACCGACAGCAGTCATACTGAAGAATCCGTGTTTCCACTCACCGATATATACAGCTCTTTCATTAATCGTAAAAAGACCTGGTATCAGTCTCGCCAGCCATGGATTCACCGACAACAATTTGCCAGAGAAATGTCTGCGAAACGTTGCAGTCCAATCACACGGAGAATGGAACCTGTGGTAATCGCCCGGAGCCAAATAAATGATGCACTGATGCAGTACATTCTCCTTATTGGTCAATAGAGAATCATAGTATCTATCACTTTTTAATTTTGACCATTTGTTTTCGCCTAAGAATTCTTCTAAGCTGTATGTAACACCTTTGACTTGTTCTATTTTTTCTGTGTTTGCTGTGCCACATGTTAAAACTACACCATCACACGGAGACACACATGGAGCTGGGGATATATATCTCACCCCATCCTTTAATTTTCTTGTGAAAAAATCCGATAAGCTTCTATAGGACTTTAAGTCTGGTATAGCTGCTTCTTCCATATTTACACTGAATAGTTTCGCATAGGTCCCATAAACAAGGGTTCTTAGAGACGTAGGAAGCTCACATGCGGCCAAACGACCCCACAAACGGCTCGTGACTCGGAAAGGAAACATTTCGTAAAACAAAATTTCAACTTTTGACACATCATAGTTAATACTAGCGCGAAAATAACACCACCCGACATAAATAGCACTTCCTAGCGGCATCCATCTAGTAATTATAGATCTAAAACTCATCCATTTGTTCCTCTGTAACTGAGTAGTCTTTGTTTGATTACTGTTATGAATCGACGATGTTTGTCGAAACGGCCTATGAGGTCTCAGTTTTTGTTTAAACATTGGATTTATAACTGGCAGACAGCTCCGTATACGAGTCGGCGGAAACATGTCTGTCTAGCAACACACTCGGCGATCGTTTAAAAATAATCTGTGTCTGTGTACGTAAATACGCGAGGAACGAATATTTTGCATGTAATAACCACAGCACAATGGATTAGGTACATACATGTACCGGATAAGAAAAATCAAATTAGATAAACAGTCGTGCTACTATTGTGTAATGTATAAAAATAATTTCTGTTGCGATTTTAACCCCTATTTAAATGAGTATATAGCCTACAATTGTGTGGCATAATTATATTTCATAAAATCGTGGAGAATGTGGAGATATGTAAGTGTGCGTTCAGAAATTTGATAAAAACAATTAAAATTGAAGGCGTTTTTCCTATTACTGAAAAAAAACTTTTCTTTACGAATTAAATATTACTTAATTCTATTATCAAGTACTAATCAAGTCATTGATATTTTTTTTAGACAAGGGGTTTTATTATCATTAGTACTCTTATGGTTGTTGAAAGGAGACGGCAAACCAAACTAGTACAGCCTACTTGGTGATTGTCGTTGACTAGAAGACTCATGCGTGACAAGACAGTGTAACCTAGTAACGTTTTGTTTAATTTTACTTGTCAAAAAAGAAATAAAATACAATCGAGTCTATACTAAAACAATTTCGGGTTTTTGTTGTAAATTAGCATTTTATCGAGGCTTTCCATATTAGTGCAACTACAAGAGGTTATGGGTGTACATTAGTTGTACTACCAACATGGAGACTTCGACTTTCAAGTACAAGATTGTACCTCTCGAAGGCAAAGCAAATTGGGACACATGGAAGTATAAAATGCTGATCGTACTCAAGAGCATACCTCACGCTCTTGATGTAATAGAAGGCAAGCTTACGTCGTCTTCTACAAATGGAGAAAGTGAAGCCAGCAGTGGAACTGCAACCTCGGAGTTTGCGAAGGCTGACTCAAGTGCTCTTTTCTGTTACGCAAAGTAATGAGATTCACGTCTGCCAGAGAAATGTGGTTAGAACTTCATCGAATGTTCGACGGAACCAATGAAGACAGGACCTTCCAGCTATGTATGAGTTTCTTTGGATTAAAAAAGGATCCAGCTGACGACGCAGCAACTCGTATGTCGAAATTGAAAAATATTTGGACCTCATTGAATAAAGAGCTCGGCGAAGATAAGAAGCTTCCAGATCTTCTTCTAATTTGCAAGACTCTTGACACACTTGGGGAAGAATACAGTCAGTTTAAAAGTGGATGGTTGATGTGTCCGACGTCCGAAAGAACTATCGACAATCCAACCAATCGCCTGTGCGTTTTCGAAAGGAACTTTATGGTGTCTATCGTGCCGCCAGAGCAAGAGGCCTTACCAACGACAAACACACAGAATGCGGCCAAGAAGAAGAGCAAGGATAGCAGAATTAAATGTAATTACTGTTCGAAGACAGGCCATCGCGTGTTAGACTGCAGGAAGTGGTTAGCAGACGGCAAACCCCCAAAGAGCAGTAATCTCAAGTTGCAGAAGTATTGACATCAGAACATGAAGTATGCTCGACTTCATCAGATACAGTGAACTGGTTCGTAGATAACGGCGCAACGTGTCACGTCACCAATCGCGGCGATCTATTCCAGACCTTCCAACTATTCGACGAGATGCACACCGTCTCCACCGCTAATGGAAATGCATTGCAAGCCAAGGGCAAGGGAGATATCAACATCAAATCGAAGGTACGAGGAAAAGTCTACGAGTTAACGCTGAAGGACGTATGGTACGTGCCAGAGATCAAGAAAAACCTTTTCTCGGTCCTAGCAGCGCATGACTGCAGCCCTACATCTTGATTTGAATCAACACCCACCAGATGCACACTGTCAACGCATGGCAAAGTGAAACTAAGGGCTGTACCCGGCCTGAGCGGGGGCCTATTCAAACTTGATGTTGAGAGCGTCGTTCCGAAGCAAGTGAATATGCTTACGAAAACCCAGCTGTATCACGAACGTCTCGTACATCAGAATAAGCGTCATGTACGAACATTTGTAAAACGAGAGTTAGGAGTAGAGCTTCCTCAAGACGAAAGCATCTGCGAAAGCTGCATACTCGGCAAGTCACATCGTTTGAAGTTTGGTACTCGACCTAGAGCTTCAAGACCCGGCGAACTTGTACACAGCGACGTATGCGGACCGTTCCCTAACTCATTTACAAATCTGCGCTATTTTGTGCTGTTCAAAGATGACTTCACCGGCTATCGCTATGTCTACTTTCTGAAAGCCTAGTCAGAGGTGAAACAGAAGATGCAGGAGTTCATCACCGAAGCACGAAATACTGGTCATAAGATCGAAACTCTCCTGAGTGACAATGGCGGCGAGTTTGATAACAAACAGCGGCTGACCATGCCCTATACTCCAGAGCAGAACGGATGCGCCGAGAGAGAAAATAGAACCTTAGTAGAGGCTACAAGGACTATTATGCACAGCGGAGGTTTCGAACAGAAACTTTGGGCAGAGATAGTTAATGCGGCTACCTACGTTCTCAACCGAACTGGTCCATCCCGTACGGAGAACAAAGCGCCCTACGAACTATGGCATGGAAAGAAACCAAAGATAGCTCACCTACGCATCTTGGGCTGCAGAGCCTACGTCCATGTCCCAAAACATAAACGGAAGAAACTCTCCATGAAAGCTCTCAAAGGAAGGTTGATCGGATACGACAATGATGATGGCTATCGTATCTGGTGCGACGACAACATACTGGTTAGATCGAGAGATGTAACTTTCGACGAGAAACCGCTTGATCGAACACAATTCGACAAAGTTGTACCTAAGGCAACAGAAAAAGAAACACCATTCAACGAATTCGAGTTGAAAGTATCTTTTAATCAAGAGCGTACTGAAGTTAATCAAGATCCAACCCCAAGCCATCAACGCGAGCAAATGGAACCTGATCTGCAAGATGAAGAATCTGCACCGCAACTTCATGAAGACAGTCCTGCTCCTGATTCTGTAGAGGAAAACCCAGTTAGTGAACAGTCAAGACCACCTAGTGTAACGTGGTACGACGTTGATCCAGGCGATTCATCTGACTCCGAAGATGAAGCAGCACAGCCGAGATACAACCTAAGAGATAGAAGCACCATTCATCCTCCTCAGAAGTACAAAGATTGTTGTGCACTTACCGATGAAGAAACTGAACCCGCTACGTTCAAAGAAGCTATGAAGAGCCCGCATAAAGACGAGTGGATAAAAGCTATGCTTAAGGAGATAGATTCTTTGAAAGAGAACAACACGTGGTCCCTTCAAGAACTACCTCAAGATAGAAAAGCCATACCGTGTAAATGGGTTTATAAAATTAAGAGAAACCCCGATGGCTCTATCGACAAATACAAAGCGCGTTTGGTTGCGAAAGGTTTCAAGCAACGCAAAGGAAAGGAGTTGACTACCAGGAAACCTACAGTCCTGTAGCCAGATTCTCCACCATTCGATCACTGCTAAGCGTTGCTGCGAGTGAAAATATGTACCTAACTCAATTCGACGTCACCACAGCGTTCTTGTACGGTGAGCTCTAAGAACTGTACATGCAGCAACCGGAAGGTTTTCACGATGGCTCTACCCGCGTATGTCATCTAAATCGAAGCTTATACGGCCTGAAACAAGCGCCCCGCTGCTGGAATCATCGTTTCCATCAAGTAGTTGTTGAACTCGGATTCACACAAAGTATAGCTGATCCGTGTCTATACACAAAGAAAGTAGGGGGGAAACAGATCCTACTTACTTTATATGTCGACGACGGATTAGTGGCTGCTTCAGACAAACAGCTTGCTGAAGAATTTATAGAGAGCCTGAAAACAAAACTTAAAATTACGACAAAGACTGCGTCCTTTTATTTAGGAATGGAGATCAATCAATGCAAAGACGGCACGATTGTGATCCACCAGGAAGCATATACCAAGAAGGTACTTGAACGCTTTAACATGGCTAACAGTAATCCTGTCTCAACGCCGATTGATGCCGCAGAAAAGTCGTCTGCAACACAATCAGATGAAGAGAAAGGGACACAACGAGGAGACTAACTTTCCTTATCGTGAAGCCGCTGGTGCGTTAGCATACCTTATGGTTGCGACCCGTCCTGATATTGCCTATGCTGTTGGAGTAGTATCTCGCAACTTAGAAAAGCCGACCAGAAGTGACTGGAACAGAGTCAAACGTATATTACGATACCGGAAGGGAACTACGTCTCTAGGTATAAAATACAAACCGAAGACACTGAATAGACCAGAACTTGAAGGTTTCAGCGACGCTGATTATGGTGGTGATGCTACTACCGGACGATCCACTACTGGAATCGTTTGCCGATACGCAGGAGGTCCTGTGTCGTGGACAAGCAAAAGACAGACTTCAGTAGCGCTGTCTACAACTGAAGCTGAACTTGTGGCTGCCAGTGAAGGAGCACGAGAATTAGTTTGGCTGATTAGAATATTCGAAAACTTGACGAATAAGAAGAGTGTGCCGAATCTTCATGTTGATAACGAAGCAGCTGTACGATTGGCACACAACCCTGAGTTCCACAAGAGAACTAAGCATATACGTGTGAGACACTTATGTTCGTGAACTTGTCTCTAAAGGAACCATCTTAGTTACAAGAATTGGTACAAGAGACCAGCTTGCAGATATAATGACCAAAGGTCTTCCGAAACCCACCTTTGATCTATTGAAATCTGCACTAGCCATAGAGTATGAAGCGAGAGCGCCTACCTCTTTGGCACTAGTTTTGGTTTAGGGGGAGTGTTGAAAGGAGACGGCAAACCAAACTAGTACAGCCTACTTGGTGATTGTCGTTGACTAGAAGACTCATGCGTGACAAGACAGTGTAGCCTAGTAACGTTTTGTTTAATTTTACTTGTCAAAAAAGAAATAAAATACAATCGAGTCTATACTAAAACAATTTCGGGTTTTTGTTGTAAATTAGCATTTTATCGAGGCTTTCCATATTAGTGCAACTACAAGAATGGTTTTCGACAAAGTAACCAAGCAAATTGTTTACTAATTTGCCTTTCAGGTTTTTGATCGCAAAATTTCACAGATTATTAAGCTTACCTTGGGACAGACTATATAAAAACCAAACTTTTAACTCAAACTTATTATGGTTTTTATTTTTTTCATTTTTAATGAAAAAACAATGTGTCTTATGTATTAATGTATTAACAATGTGTTTTATGTCTGGCTGTAAACTATTCTTCTTAATAATATCGTAAACAACAGCTAAATAAAACTGAAAGTAGCCGGTTTTATGTGTCAAATATGTGTTGTATAATCTATGCTATGACATTTGATTGGAAAATTATGGCGATTGCCGCGATTGGACATTGTTGCAACACTTGCAACGCAACTCATCCAGTCTTCGTTTAGCATGACATGTAGCGTTGTTTACGTTATTATTCATATTATTAGTTTTTTTTTATTTTTTATTTTTTTTCCCGCGTCATTAGTTTCCTCTGATGTCCACGAGCGATGGAGTTATTAAAGAATCAAAGGATACGACCGATATTACGGCGAAAGTGGTACGGAGGCGACGGACTTCAGATTATGGTGAAAATCTCGCGGTGGAAGGATTCCGCGGGTTCGAGAAAGTGCCGCTCGTGGTTCTAACCCGTTATGACATAACACCGTACATAAAAACAGTAAATAATAACAAAAACAACGATAAATTGGACTCTCTAGATTCTTCCTTACATTCTGAGCGGCTGGCTCAAAAATGTGTAGTCAAACTTGTCAATCAAGACTTGGATGGACTAAAGGAAGCTTTAGTGAACTTACGGAAGCGTCAATTATCTACTGATTCAGCGTTTGACTCTGAAAACGACGCCATGGCCAGCATTAAATGTAAAATATGTGAAAAGGGCTATTCTAGTGAAAGGAAGCTGTTAAAACATCAGGAAAATAAGCATATGATCGTGTACAAACCTCATGACAGACCTCAGAAGAGAGTCTCGTTTTCAGATCATGTAATAGTCCACGAAGTAAAAGAGTACCATAAATGCAGGAAGTGCCCAAAGATATTTGAAGCTTACAAACTTTTAAAATTGCACATGAAAGAACGGCACAAGAAACGTAAATGCTACATTTGCAATTACTGCAATAAAAGCTTTGTTGACCGTACCTTTTTCAAAGTGCATATAAAGCTACACTGCGATGTTTGCGCTTTGTGGTTACCGAATAAACTTAAATATACGGAACACAAACGTAATGTATGTCGCATTTTAAAATTACACAAGTGTAGAACATGTAACGAAACATATTTTAAATTCATGGACTTAAAAGACCATAGTTATGAACATATAGTAAACTGTTACGTATGTGATGTGTGTAAAGATGAATTCGTAAGTAAATGTGAAATTGTCCACCATATCTCTTTTCTGCACTCAAACAACAGACCAACATCATTATACTCAATGCGTAATTTAGGCAACGAGAGATTATATTTGTGCAATTATTGTGATGAAAGTTCAGTTGAACGAGATGTGATAGAACATCATGTACAGATGCTACCGGATTTATCAAATAAAGCAATGACGGGATATAAAGATTACTATTTCTGTGACCAATGTATGAAAAAGTTTGATACGGAAACTGATATGCTACAACATAAATGGACACACTTTTTAAAAACAAGTGATAACTCTCAGACAAGGAAAAAAGTTGCTAAGATAAAAATGAAGACTACATACAGAAATGGTGACGTAATACCTGAATATATGAATCCAAAACTTGTTTTAGAAAAACTTAACCTTGGTGAAAAGGGTACAGAGGTTGTTGAATTCATTGACGTCAGAAGCTTTGATGTCAACGGTGAACCTAATAAAGCAATTGTTGATCCTAAGAGCAAAAAGACCATTATATCCAAGCACCAGTGTCAGGTTAGTACCATACACTTCATTTTTCAGAAACTATAGTCCATTTGTGTTAAGGAAAGGGAAGGTTAAGGAAGGTGTTGCAGCAATCAAACTCCACCCCCTGACCAAAAACCAATCAAGATATATCATGAAACCAAAATTGTTTGAAATTTAGAAAGCAGCAATGCACGAGTCCTGAGTTGCAGGCGTTCATTTGTGGCTGTAGTCACTTTCCATCAGGTGACCCGTCTTGTCGTTGCCATAAAAACAGGAGTGAAATTATAGCAGTTTTTTAATTTATGGAATAAGGGGGCAATAGGCATGATGACAGTGTTAAAGAATTATAGAATAAATGGTTTAAAATAAAAAAATGTATTGAAAGGGTTCTACAAAATTACATAGTTTTAATTAAAACACCCAGATTTATAAGATTTTAATAAAATAAAAGTATAAAATATAGGCATCGGCCATCTTAGCTGAAACACCAATCAGAGCGATTTACGTCACGCCTAAGTAAACATCACAGAATCTTTCGAATTTTGTTTGTGTTTACACTTTTTAAGTTGTTGTTGCATTATTTAATTAGTTAATTTCTGATTTATTCGTGGTTATTGTCATAAAGATAAAAGATTACACTTGCGAACGTATTACACTTGCTATGATAGGTATATTTTTCAAAAATATTTTGCTTGCATAACTTGTGTCCATGGAAAAGTCATCAGCAAGTTCACGAAATGAATTATTTAGTCTAATTTTCTTTTTAAACATAATAAAATGTGGTTAGACGGGATATTTGTGTGCTCTTGATTTAAATCAATTAAAAAGTAACAATTTTTAGGAACTCCAATATAAGAACGTGGATTCTTTGTAATTTTGTTCAATGTACATTGTAACATTTTTAAAGCCTCCTGTTTTCTATCAGCTTCTATTAACTCGCTGCAGTCAGAAGCTGATTCCATTTGAAGAGACTTAGTTGATGCTGATGATTCTGGGTGAGTTAGAGAGGGAGTATATGAAGTATCACTATCTGATTGTTCTTCTTTTCTTATTCTTCTCAACACACTTAAATTGGGTCTTGATGGGTTACAACTAACACCAAGATTGATTTTAAATGGTGATGTAGAGACAGAATGCAGGTACGGCTTCAATGGTGATGTCATTTGATTTACAAATTTGACCTCCGTTTGGTTTCCTTTACTTCTGAATGATTTTGTCATATAAACTTGTATTGATTTGTCTATCATTTTTGATGTTGTTGGCTGCTTGCTAGAAGAAGCTTTTTCAGGATTGTGTTGAACTGTCAAGAAAATATCACAATAAATTGTGTATTCTTTACATGCCTATACAATACTATAGATAAAGTAACAATACATAGACGATTAACACACTTTTCGGAGTTATCATCTCAATAGCTATTGATTTTCATTATAACCAAAAATACCAAACATTAAAATAATTTAATTACAACTTGTTATTATTATTTTAATTAGATTCATTATAATATTTTTACTTTCTTGTTTCTTTAAATCATAATAAAACACATGACAGCAATCTTAAAAAATGTATACCTGAACTTTTTGATGCAGTTTCTTCAAAATTCAAATGTTCTGTAACCATATTACTTTCTTCCGATTGCTTTTCACCCTCATCAAGAGCCATCAACTTTCGTTTCTTACTTATATATGGTCGGTCTACGGTATTACAAGTTCGTGACTTTCTATCTGGTTGGCAGTCAAATTTATGGGGAATAAATCCTGGTTTCATACGCACTTGTGATACTGACCCCATTATATGATATTGCATGTAGTTTTCCATGTCATTTGGTAGCTGAAAACAGAAATGTGATATGGAAATTGATAACAGACCAAAACAAACCTAACCTTAACAATTTTTATATTGTGAATCACTTCAACTATTTCATCTCTAACAATGATTTTGAGTTACATACCTATCAATCTATATCAAATACTTACATCAAAGTGGTCTTCACAAAAATAAATTGGCGAATTCGTAACTACACCTGCTGGATCTCGCCGCGCAAGTTTTAGCCATGTATCTCTCATTTTTTTCTTATTTGGAACATAAACAAACAATTTGTTAGGTGTTGCTATTGATGCATTTTTGCAGTCAGGTACCGCACACCACTTATAAATTTTGGAATTCATTTTTAACACACAAAACCCGTAGATAACACTTTGTTGACTTGTTTCGTTGAGCACAGATGTTTTAATTACTTAGGCGTGACGTCATCGCAGACGAAATAACACTTCAGAGCGTTTGCGCGCGAATTTCAAAGTAGATGAAAAGAAATGGAATTATTTACGTTAAAACTCATCTGATTGCTGAAATCATGTTATTTTCGTAAATAGTTGACGTCTACCTATATTATAGAAAGGTATTTCAAAATCTGTCATCATGCCTATTGAACAGGTGGGGTTGGTAAGCCTAAGTCATGGGATGCCTGCAACTTAGAGTCACAAGTGCCTTGCTGCTGGCTTTGGGCTCGGATAATTCCACTCACTCTGTAAAAAGCAATGACATAAGTTTTTATTATAGGTTTTCTGTGAGGTGTCTTATCATTTCGGTCAACCCAGCCTTTACAGGCTCAATCATGGCTCTTTCATGGTATATTGGGTCATAAGAATCGTATTCAATGCATTTATATATGGCACTAAAGTGACGACTGAATGGCGTAGTGGTTTTTGTAACGGACTGCTATTCTAAAGGTAGCGGGTTCGATTCCCACTCAAGTCAAACATTTGTGTGCATGAACTTTTAATGTTTGATTTGTTCTGGGTGTTTCTATGTATAATATGTATATACGTCCTTGTTGTGACGGATTAAGAATACGGAGTGCCACCACCCCTAGTCATCCCGTGGGTGTCGTAAAAGGCGACTAAGGGAACTAACGTAGGACAACCAGTACAGCAAAGAGAACAAAAACTTGACACAAACCCTATACCAACTCGTCTGGCCAGCGTGGTATAGTATGCCAAAACCTCCTTTCTAAGGAGAGGCCTGTGTCCAGTAGTGGACAACTAAAGGCTATGATAATGATTATAATTATGAATATATATATATATATATATATATGTGTGTGCCCACTTAACACCACATAATAAACAATTTGACTACGGACTGTTGCTCCACTGACAAGTTGTTTTAAATAAGTGTGCGTTCGTTAAAGCTAATGAAGGCAAAGCTATATGACATTATATATCCATACTTCCATACTGGGGCGGGTGGGCGACCTTACGGGCCTGTTGGTCTAGTGGTTAGTGATCCTGACTGCTAAATCGGAGGTCGTGGGTTCGATTCCCACCCAGGCCAAAGTGTGTTTATCAGCAGTCTGGTTACCATAGCACAGGCTCTGTCTAGTTTGAGATCCGCCAGCCGTGTGTGAGATGTGTGAGAATATTATTATACTAATATTATTTTAAAAAAAGTGTGTCTGTCTGTTTATCCGTTCTTTTCACGCTTAAACCGCTGAATCAGTTTAGATGAAATTTCATATGGAGATACATACTTTGATTCTTGAGGAAAGATATAAATGATACTTTTTACCGCGATAAACGACATTTACGCGGCCGGAGCCGCGGGCAAAATCCAGTGGTTATATATAGGTATGGCTATATTCCCAAAGTGTTAGTATACAATAATATTTAGTTCCATTTACATAATAGGAGCCATGCCTATTACCGTCAACTAAAAACTTTAGCCATTAGTTGGGATTCATGGGTGTATATGGAAAGGAAAGGTAGAATGGAAGAAAAGGTAATGTTAGAAAATGAAGACCTAAACTAACTGACTTGTGGGCAGGCAATGTGGATGCTGCTCATACATGCAGTCCAGCGAGTAGATAGTCCATGCAGTTCAGCGAAGCAAATAACATGGGCAAGTTACTTGCATCATGTAGACCCCTGACTGACTGGTTCATCACGACAGAGCTTAAACGGCTGAGGTTACCAACTTTAAATTTGGGGGATGATGCTTTTCAGGTTAAAAGCACCAATTACCCCTAAGGGATGAACGGTTGTAAAGTTCATAATTTCAAAGTTAGAAATACGAAATAATGACGGTAGCGAAACGAAACATTCATTTAATTCTCAAAGTAAAAGAGAGATTATGTTAAAACAAATCGTGATAACTCAAGGAACTAGAGTGAGAGATTCTGAAAGTCTCAAGATCTTTTCGTCAATTAAAAAAAGATAGAGATTTTTTTGAAGTATAGCTATATAGAAACAAAATCAAAATAGGTTGATCCATTTAGATGCTATGATACCCCACAGACAAAACACATTAAACTTATAAAACTCAATTCTTGTTTCAGACATGCGGCAAATATTATTCATCTAACTATTGCCTTAACCGGCACATTGAAACACAACACTCTGATTACGACAACCTCAGGTGCAAAGTGTGTGAAGAGACCTTTGTATGGCCATCGTTACTTCGGTCACACAAATGCATCCGTCTGAACCACCCCGAAATGCCTTTTGAGGACGCAAGGCCCGAGATCCACTTCGATAACCTCCATGAGATCAGTGAAAATGGTTTTGATGATTTAAATATTGGTGATAATGATGATTATCTGAATACATTGGACTTTGAAATACCTGCTCCTATTGTGGAGTTGACGGAGTATGAAAACTTTGTACCGGCTACCCTACTACCTACGTCTGATAGGTTCACACCGTTGAGTAATTTAGGTTATAAGGTTGTAATGCAAGAAGTACCGATAGAGTTTTAAGGTATTCTTTGGAGTTTACTTCTTAAGAATCGATGTTCATATAAGGCGCCCGGTATGAAAAAAATATGAAGAGTAAAATTTTGTGATCGAATGACCTCGTTACGTTTTTGTGCGCACCTTTTACATGTATGTGTACTTTGTATACTTGTGTGCAGCCGAATCGTTCTTAACGAGTAAACTCTAGTCGTGCGTCAGAGCTGACACCCACACTTTTTTTTTACCTATATTTATAGGAATATTTGAACATTTTACTGAACTTAGTTGAAGAAGTTCAGGCTCGTAGAACGAGTATCATAGTACATTTATAGAATAATTACTTGTATAGTGAGTGATTTAAACAGATGACAAGTAGTACATATAAGTGTAAATATTTATGTATGGGTTTTTGCCTGAAATCTGTGGGAGGGACGGAAGTAACAGGAAGCTATGGAAAAGAACGCTAATTGATTTGACCAATCAGCGCGGTGCTACAGATGGTTGACAGATGGTAGATGAGATGTAAAATATTACATGTCATAATATGCTACTACTAGTATCAGAGAAGTGCAAGTAAAATACTGTCATTTTATCTAAAAAGGTTTTATAACATTTATATTATTATTTAAAAATATTTTGTCTATCGGTAATCTTCTCAATAACACTAATTTAAAAAAAGAACTAAACCAATGTCCCCGGAAGTTTGTATACACAGTGTTGCTAGTGTGCACTTTTGTTTAGGCTTTTATTTAATTTGGCAACTCTGACTATCTTACACACATATATTACTTAATACATATTACAGACAAATTACACACGGTTATTTGTCATGGGTGGGAATCAAACCCACAATATCTGTTATATACCATTAAACTTGTTTTAGTAAGGTGTTCAAAGTATAATTAGACTAAAAAATTTGAAATAAGGTGTACAGCTTAATGTAAAATAATACTGTTCATTTTATTTACTTTAGGTACTGAAAAATTAAATAGTGGACTTAGAGTTCAAAATCGTAGCAAAAAATACCAACGATTTTGACCTGGAAAAGGAAGACATTCTCAATTCAATTTTTTGTTTAGGGTGGTAAACCCAATGGTACTAAACGAGAAGACTCTTTCCCTATTCAAATTTGAATATGAAGAAAAAATACCACCCCTTAGGGTTAATTTTTGTTTTTCGTGAATTATTAAAATTTTTCGGATAAAAAATTGGGTACAAATACAATTCTTCACGTATTTATAAATACTTTCCACAGAAAAACATTTGTTGTAAATTTTTCGATGCACCGTCGGCTACACCCTGTATACATACCATATATTAGAATAAACATATAAGTAAGTGGTTATAGTCCATCTAATCTAAGAGGTTCCGTTTGACGTTTCATACTTTTCAAGACGAAACAACTTTGTATAGGCGTAACTCACACAATTTCAACAACTTTTGCCGTGAAATTATGGAGTTATGTAGTTATTTTTATTTTGTCGTGTGATATACAATTCTTAATGCCTAAATTTAAATATTTGAAACAAAGTAAAATAACCAATTTATACACAATAGATGGTTTTTTTTTCAAACTTCATTACACGACACGTAGTTAGGTCCTTTACCGCAGTGTTGAGGCTCTTCAAATTCACTTGAATACGAATAATCGTAAAAAAGGATAAAAAATCTAACTTATTAAGAACGAGTAATTTTCAGTCCAGGCGTCTTAAAGTGTTTAATAATACTTAAAATTCGTCTGACATCCAAATCTCAAGGAAAACGCAAAATTATAATCAAAAGAATGTAAGTTAAGGTAATTTTATATAAATTTGTATAGGCAAAAATCGCTCGTTTCCAAGTCTAGTGTACTAAGGTTAGTGTAGTAAGGTTTACGAGTAAAACCTATGATGGGCCATTACACGGGCTTTTTACAATAACATACATAAATCTGTAAAACTGTAAACGATTAGTACATACTAAGAAATGATATCGAAATCTCTTAAGAATCAAATAATTTAGTAATCGATTTCTTTGACCCCATCGCTATATTTCAATCTATCAGAACTGTCAAACGGTACCTCGTAGATTAGATGAACTATAAGAATCATCTGTCGGACTGTGTTGCCATACAAAAAAGAGCAGATGGAATAGTGGAAGGTAAAATGACACAATAGGGTATTAAATTAGTGTTTGAACATATTTTGAAGTGGGAATAGCCAGAATTGTTTATTAATTTTATTAAAATTATAATTAATATGAAGGATAAAGAAGAGAAGGACGGTAGAAACAACGTATTATGTGCGAGAAAACCGAAAAGATGTCTAGGTCTGGTCTTCTGGCAGTAGTTAGAACCCACCAGAGTGGCGCTAGTATAGGTAAGAGTAGACGAAGTGTTATTAATGTGTTACATATTATCTCGCACTTTCCTGCAATCAGTGGGAGTGAAACGGGACGGAAGTGTGTAACAGGGTAAGCTATACCATTGTCGGCACCCCATTGGCACTCCTAATTTGAAACAAAAATGTGAAGGATTGATGTGGTAAAAAATATACAATTGATGCAGAACAGAAGTTTTTGAAGTGTACACAAAAAACCAAATTATTATTTTTATATATCGACACTAAGTTAAGTAAAACGAAACTTTTTTATAACGTTAATGTTATGCTAACTCATTTATAATAAACTTGTTAACTCATAATTGTTTATATATGAAAAAAAATCCCAACCACTGATTAAAGAATCCTTAAAGTGCCAAAAATTGTATAGTTTACTCTGCTTTGTAATTGATTTAGTGTCGTTTTCTATAATAATGCTTATTTGAAAATGTTATTTAAAAAAATTATGACAATGTTGCCCTACCAAAAAAAAAGTTAATTTTTTACAATTGTAATTTCATATTCCTCTTAAATTAGCTTTTTAAGCTACAAGGTCGGGTACAAGGTCTTCACGTATTTAAATAACATATGTACTGTGTATTTCTGTTCTAAATAAAACAATCATATAGAAGACCCTTTTGTTAATATATTTGTAAGGATTGTTATTTTTTTCATAATTCGAATTTGAAATAATCTAAAGTACAGTTATCGGTATATATCTAAGTCAATATTCATTAATATTATACCGGTTTTTTGTGTCATTTTGACAAGTTGTGTAAAAGATTTGAAAAGAGAATTATTAGATACTGCATGTTACAATAGTAAGAAGGGTCGCTTCTTATTTATAAAGGACTATTATGCTCAAGTATTTTTTGACCCGATGCGGAATTATAATAAAGGGATGAAGCGACCTTCCACGTCCGTGGAATCCGAATATCATTTAGGAATATTTTTAATCCAATATGTTCACTTCTGGCTAAGTCGTAGTAGCGCTATCCTAAGCGTTTGGGTGACGGCTGTACTTTGTCAAGGGAACACAGATTTTTACAAACCAGATGTCTGATTATAGATACAAAATAAAATTACTTGTATTAAGATTGGGGCAGACAGCGGGTTGGCATGGGACGGTGATGCTGTAGGAATGTGTATTGTTGCTCGATTTTAAATTTAAAGCGTTGTTTGATGTTCAAAATAATGGATACGGAATACAATACAATTGTGTTTGGATACAGAAGTATTTAAGGAAGTAATAATAAGTTTGTGATATGGTTCTTAGTCTATATATTTTATTGAAATCTCACCATTAATGGAGTTGCCATTGTAGTTATTATTAATTTAAATAATATCAACCTTAAAAATTAAAACAAAAAAAAAAAAAATGGCGGATTCTGTACGTCATAATAAGCGTCTTGACGGTTACTTTTATTTTTAATTTATCGTGTAGGCGATCACAGAGACATGCAAAAATATTATTTTCAAGATTATTAAAATATGCTACAGTATTTTAGTTGATTACTGTACTCAGTACTGTTTCAAAATTATTACATTTAAGTCAGAGATAATAGTTTTTTTTTCTAAGATGCAATTTGTTTTTTGGTGTGATTTAGTGTATGAATGTATAGAGAAATCCATAGACAAGTAAAGTTTGTGAAAATATTGCATTATTCATAGATCGTTTTTATGTCTAGATAGCGTATCTTATCGTTACTACAAGTCAACTATTATGTTATTTATTTAAAAAATTATTAGTTCATCACACTGGTGTACAGTTGACACACACGTCGGTATCGAAAAAAAATTTAGCGGCCAACTGTTGGACACTATTTTTTTCGACGCTAGAATGACAGCCTATCTAGATATAATTTCACAGATGATTATTGTTATAGAGATCGTTCTTACAGTATAGAATATGTTTACTTTTTCGTTCCTGTTTATCATATTTACAGAAACTACCAAAAGAGTATGGTAGTAATTGATAGTGGTAGTTTTTAAATAATTAAGTTGGTGCACACTGGGATATTTCAGGTGAGAACTGTGTGTATGCTATATGACCCTCTTCAGATGGTATTAGAAATAAAAAAATGCTTCTTTTGCTTTATAATTCTTTTTTCCTCTTAAATGTTGATTTACCTTAATTTTTTTGGTTTGAATTGTTAAAGATTTGCTTGTCTTCCCTGCTAAAAGTAATATTTATAGTATGGAGAGGCAAGGAGAACCATCTCATATGGGGGAAAAGTTGAAAAAAGACTTCAGCCGTAAACTGAAAATAGAGGTCGCTGGCGTACGAAAAACTACGATATGAACATAGCTGAAGGTCAAGTGCGAGTTCATTTCATTTCTACTCGATCGTCACGATGAATTGAGACCGAACTTTAATTACGGGATTGGTCTTATGGTATTTAGTTTGAAGGGTGTTCATATAAATGTGACTGTATTATTAAAAAGACATTATTTTTTAATTTTCCGTTTAAAATTATTGTACATAGTATTTTCTGTAACATATACTTAAATATAAGGACGAAATGTATATATTTTTAACCAACTGTCATATTCTATTAAGAATTTAAGGTTGACAGTGTTTCTGATGGTGTCTGTATTATCGATTGATCGATACTAGTGATGTGTAGAATATAGGTATCCGTGAATATCCGCAGGTGAAAAAAAATCTTATATTAATTACTTTTTGGTGGATAAAAAACGGACCTAAGTGAGAGAGAATACTAATAGTATTAAGAGTTATAAACTAATATTTGACTATCTTTATAATAAGCCCGAACCTGAAGTCTTTTCTATAGTTATTATAAAAACTAAAAACCCGGCAAACGTTGTTTTACCATATACATTATTTAAAAAAAATGACAAAAAAATAGGGGTATGAAAAATAGATGTTGGCTGATTCTCAGACCTACCCTTTAGTCCCACACAAAATTTCACGAAAATCGGTCGAGCCGTTTCGGAGGAGTTCAACCACGCACACCGTGACACGAGAAATATATTAGATTGTATAGAATACTAGCAATACCATGCCACGCTTTGCTGTGTCACATTGTAGTTGCATTGATAAGATATAAGTAACCAAACTGACACGAAAAATATATATAAAACAATCTTTAAAGCGGGTTGTATATCGTGTCAAAATTTGAACTTGAGTAAAAGTTTTGCACCGATTTAGCTTTTGTAGCGTCTACAAACCTACATAACATTTTTGCATGTAGATAATACAAGGTACAAATCAAAATGTGTCATGATGTTTCAAGGTCACGCAAAACAACATTAATTGGAAAGACTCGTAACAGTAACAGTAACCGCGGATATACATTTATATCGATTCTGCGCATCACTATCGATACTAACGCTTTAAATCGATTACTGTTTAATCAATATCGAATCATCATTTAACTAGTGATCATACAAGTTTGATTTAATGTTTATGTTTCAAGTTAAAACACTTTATAATAGTTGAATTAGAAGTAAATAAGAAATAAACGGTGTACATAATTTTGTTGTTGTTCTATTAAAACTGACCACTCGTAATTAAGTTTTGATACCTTTGGACGTGATGGTGAGTGAGTACCGCTGCCCATAGACACCACTTATGAGACAAGTGTGTCGCCGCACCGCCGCCGAACAAATGCGTAGGACCCCGAGTAATGGGGTGGGGATTTGATCTGGACCCCTCGGACTCATAGCCGGGGAACCAGGTATACCCTAGAAAGGAAGTCGTGATCTGGACCCCTGGTAACCTTACTCACTTTCCGTGAAACAGAGGCCTGGCTCTCCCACATCAAAGAATTTTGAGAAGTTAAGGTAAAAGCTTTAAACGGGTCGAAAGTAGGTTTTGCTAAAATCGTAAAAGTATATAAACTGTAGACTTGCAACGAATAGTATATTCGGCAGTATACCGAATACCGAATATTCGGCGATGCCCCTGACCGAATAGCCGAATATTAGGCAAAAGTATTCGGCTGGATTTTAGCGCCAAAAACTTGTACAGACGTGATTGTTTCGCGCTCCTTTGTTTTGTTCTAATGTACTCATCGCCCGCGCGCCCGCTGTTGCTCTGCGCGGTATATTGCTAACGCACTGCATGTTTCGACAAGTTCATTTCGTGGATATCGTATTACGTTAAGTACAGTTTATTGTGCTCTCTTAGTTTTGATCTGTTTGTAAGTGTGATAGTGTGACATTTAACAAATAAACAATTAAATAATTACGAACGTACTTTAATAATAAAAAAATCGATAATGGCCTTTAAAAAAAATCGCCTATATACTTCGAGGATGATGTAAATGATCATAAAAGTAAACTGTGCGAAATAAAAATTTCTCGTGGTGGCGTTGGAAGAAAGGCGACACCATCGGGAATGTTAAATCATTTAAAAAATAAACACAATGAAGAATATCATAAGTTGGTACCCACGTTCCCTAAGGGGCAAGAAACTACAAAACAAAATACGAATGTAAGTAATAAACCTTCAACGTCAAATAAACAATTAACTCTTGAAAAGTGTGCAGAAATTAATAAACTATGGGATATTATTGACCCCAAGGCAAAAAAGTACCATGTGTTAATTGCTGAAATGATCGCACTTTGTGACGTATACCATTATATAATAAAATATAGGACGCAAGCCGACGGCAACGCCATTCGTTCACTTCCGATCTGACACTCGGAGCGGGCGGGCGTGCTGTGGAGTTGGGTGCCTATGTACATAATTGTGTGGTGTTTTATTATAAGTACCCCTACATAAAAAGTGGATATCACATTGGCGACGAGTAAAAGCGCAGTAAGTAAAATAAATGTTCATATGTACGTGCTTCAGATTCGGTCAACAAAAAAAAAAAAAAGAAAAAAAAAAGATAGAAGGGAAAACAGAGCCGTTTTGTAAATCACTACCTGTTGAGTTAGGAAACATCTGTAAAATGTGCATTTTGTAGGAGTATAATAGCATAAAATATCTTGTAATATAATGCAATATGTTACTTGAACCGTAATCGACGTAGTATGTATGTAGCATAACTTGCTGTTGACAGTATTACGAGTGTTTATAATTTAGATCGTAGCTATATCTCGATCTAAATATTTACAATGGGTTTGTATATACTATGGGTTTGAGTGTGAATTGTTGACCGAAGCTGGTTGCAAATAAATGCAAACAAAAGACTTTATTTGGTCTCCGACAAGTCTGGAGGGCGGAGAACTCTTCGTAAGGACCTGGACGCTGGGACCCTGCAGCAGATAGAGACTTTCCATAGGCAGAGCTTCTATTGGGGCTACCTCTTGAACTTATCAGGTATGGTTTCTTTTAGGGGGCAAACGAGCACACGGGTCTGCTGATGGTAAGTGATCACCACCTCCCATGGACATCTGCAACTCAAGAGCTACAAGTGCCTCCCTCTCACTCACTTGCTGAAATGCAACGAAACAAATTGTTTAAACACCGGTTTCCTGTGAACCTGTCACCCTCCTCAATCTCTCTCTGATAATACGGATACTCATATATAACTATTACTTCAGGAAATAACATAAAGAATAGATGTTACATTCCTTTCAGATGCCTAACGTTTTGATTAGATTGTACTTGGACGTGGCCACAGACGCAATCATTTTTAAGATTTAGAAAATATAATATACAAACTGTCCGTGTGGTGACGGATTAAGAATACAGAGTGTCACCACCCCTATTCATCCCGTGGGTGTTGTAAGAGACGACTAAGGGAGCAAACTACGCAGCACAACAGCACTGCAAAGAGTATGCAAAGAGTATGGTATAGTAGTCCAAAACCTCCTTTCTAAGGAGAGGCCTATGTCCAGCAGTGGACTACCAAACGATGATGTTGTGAATTGCCAAACCTCGAAATTAACTTTTATTTCTTTTAAATGAAAACAGGTTTTTTTTTAAAAATAGAAACAGGTTTTTATTTTGTAATTTTTTTTGTCAACAGATTCCTTACAAAAATGCTGTGATTTATCCCAGCTTTGGTACAGAGAGTTTTATCTCGAGATGACTATGGGCAGGAAGGTCAATGTAAGTATATCTAGTAAACACGTCTAGAAAACTATCATAACATAATCTATACTAACATAATAAAGCTAGATTTTGTTTGTATTGGTTTATTTGTTTTTTGATTAAAAATTCATGTTTATCATCGATTCTTCACAGAAATGCATGGTCCGCCACCAACACAACGAAGAATGCAGTGACCTGATCACCATGGAGAAGAGGATCCAGTTTCCCATTGAAATGTCCATGCCTTGGATCCTTACCGATCACATTCTGCGCACCAAGGAACCCGCCATGATGGAGTGAGTATTTTTAGTAGTATATCTTGAAAGTGAAATTGTGGCTCGAAGGACCAAGAAGGATGACAATTTGAAATTACACATCTTTACATGACTTGGTGGTCCAATTCTTTTTTACGAACCAGTATATCTTGAGCTATTATTGAGTTTTATATTAAGACAGTTCAACACATATACTGAACCCCTATAGTAGAATTATTTTCTCCGTGCAGTTTGGGTCATAAATAGTCGGAGCGGTGAAGCGAGTATTTCGTTCTCTCTTTCACTCACGAGCCTTATGGGCGGGCATAGTGATGCACATTATTGTTGTCGATAAGCGTTATCGATAGTGTATTTAGTTTTCTCATTTTGTGGGTTAGTGACAAAAATTAATGAAAAAAAATAGATAAAACAACGTATTTATTAAAATAAGAATAATAATAATATAAAAATAAATTATTAGTATGTATTGTTATAAGTACAATAGTTTAGAATGTAAAAAGTTATGTTAAAAATAAATATAAATACTTATACCTAAGTTTAAAATGAAAATATTATTTTTAATGAATTCTGCCATTTTGGTACAAAACAAAGGAGTAGCCTTTGTGTCACTAAAGAAATTCAGAGAGCGAATGCACAAAAACACATTTCTCTTCGACATATTATGTACTATAATTTGTAGTGGGGAACAACAAATGACTCATAACATAACAATGTCTCACCACCTTTGTATACCGCCCCGCCGCCGTGTACCTGCCTTTGATGACTCATTTGTTCTTATCGATACTGGCGTTGCGCCCGCGCAACATGCTCACCGCCCTAGCCGGGCCGGGGCCGAGCTATGGTTTATGACCCAAACATGCAAAATAATTCTAGTATAGTATTGTTTATTCTTTTTCTTAATTTTTCACCCTTAAGGGTGGAATTCCTTCTACAAATTTCAGTGGCATCAAACGGAAAGAATGTTTGAAATCTGTTCATTAATAAAGAAGTTGTAAGATAATTAAAAATACAGTAGAATATAGAACCTCCTTTTTTAGGTTGGTTAATAAACATATTTATTCCTAAAATGACATGTTTGCAGGCGGCGAATTTTTATAACAAGCAGTATAAAGAATTTTCTTTACATAATAGTAAATAAGGGGGAATGAGGGGCTCGTGGCTAAGTTGTAACCGAGTAGGTTGACACATTGCAAAGTTAAGCAATCCTACCCAGGTCAGTCTATGGGTGACCATTTCTTAGCAAACTGAGACTCCGTGCCTTAGAGAGGACTTTGAACCGTCGGTGCCAGTTGCCATACGCACATCTATGGCAATCGTGACTGGTAGTTGGAGCCCCTAAAACGTCGGACAACAGTCTATCTACAGAAATGAAATGAAATGATATTTATTTCTGTAAGTAAATCTTTTCAGATATTTTTACAAGTCGGACTTTACAGCTAGAAGGAGCCGGCATTTCCTAATACTCACTCTGGGAAGAAACGCCGAAACAAACCACAGAGGTGTCTTTTTTTTTAAAGTCCGTAAACAAAGTTAAATAAAACTGTGCGAGTACAGTATAGGGTCTGGATAGGCCTTTTGAGGAAAGGACCATAGCTTTGAGTCAGCCTGTCCTCGTGTAGCCTAACCGATATTGGTCAAGATCAACGACCCGAAGCATGACACTACCGCCAGCAGGACATTTGGGTAGGCCGTGGAAACACTCAAAACCACCAGAAAGATAATAAAATATGAATTAACATTACAAGCCTACACTGTACTCACATTTACATACTTAAACAAGAAATAAAATAAAAATACTATACAGTTCAAAGTCAACGAAAAATAAAATACGAAAACAAAATACGAAAAAAAAAAAAATATTATTATAATTAAAGAACTTCGATATCGCCTAGTACTTGGGTTGTGGAGGTCTGATGACAGTCGCTCCATATAAAATCGCCGACTTAGGACTTAAAGCCGACCCTAACATAGTTTGGAAAAAGGGTCGGCGGAAGAAAAAGAAAGATGAATAAATAGGGCCCGGATAAATATGTATTAAAATATACAAAATTTGTACATAAAATATGGATCAAAAAATCAAAAATATGGAAAAATATGGCGTACAAAATAACAATCTCTTTCATTTTAAACTTTGTTTACTGTGAATTATCATTTACTATAGCAACAGTCATAAAAAAAAGTAAAAAGATGTCATCACATCACATCAACAGCCTTTAATAGTCCACTGCTGGACATCGGTCTTTCCTTGGAAAGGTACGAGGGGTGATCAATAAGTAATGATAATCGAGTATTTCTAGAACGCACAAAAACACAAATTATTTTTTTTCTGCTTGCTTATGTATCCACTACTTCAGCTTCAAAAAAATGTATAAATAGGACACCATTACCGGGAGATACATTCATTTGAATACGAACTGTCGAAGAGAAAACATAAAAATGGAGAAAAATGAAATAAGAGCTGTCATCAAGTACCTCTGCCTGAAAAAAATGTCTACCAAAGACATACACAGCGACTTAGAGGAAACATTGGGGGAGTCTGCTCCTCCATATTCCACAGTCGCACGCTGGGTAAAGGAATTTAAGCTGGGCAGAACCTCCACTGAAGATGAACATCGCGAGGGACGCCCTTCCACGTCCCTTACTGGAGAAAACGTCAAAAAAGTGGAAGATATCGTGTTGGCCGATCGAAGGGTGACCGTAAGGCATGTAGCTGAGGTCACAGGGATCTCCTATGGCAGCGTTCAAAAAATCATTGTCAACAAAATGCATATGAAAAAGGTCTCTGCGCGTTGGGTACCGAGAATGTTAACCGACAAGCAAAAAAAGAAACGAGTCGACATTTCGAGGGTGAATCTTCAAAAGTTCCAGGCCGATAAAGAATTTTTTTGTCGCGTTTTGTGACCATGGACGAGACCAGGATCCACCACTTTGATCCCGAAACCAAACAACAATCAATGACTTGGAAACGAGCTTCCTCACCAACGCCGAAGAAATTCAAAGTGTCAAGTTCAGCGGGAAAGGTTATGGCGTCTGTTTTCTGGGATGCAGAAGGAATTATTATGGTGGAATATTTGGAAAAAGGGGGCCACTATAACAGGCTCTTACTACGCAGGCCAAATAAGAAGATTGCGAGAAGTTATTAAGTCAAAAAGACGCGGTAAACTGCGCGCTGGAGTGCTGTTTCACCAAGACAACGCCCCGGCTCACAAAGCCGCAGTTGCGATGGCTGCCATTGAAGAAACGGGGTTCGAACTGCTCGAACACCCTCCCTATTCGCCAGATCTAGCTCCCAGTGACTTCTACCTCTTTCCTCGGCTCAAAGAACACCTCCGGGGCAACAAATTTGAGGACAATAGTGAAGTGATGGCCGCAGTAGAGGCATTTTGGGAGGGTCAAGACAAAGATTTTTTTTCTAAGGGAATCATGGGCTTAGAAAAAAGATACACTAAATGTATTAACTTGCAAGGAGACTATGTTGAAAAATAAAATACTTTTTTTAATCTAATAGTTCTGTTTCATATTGATTATCATTACTTATTGATCACCCCTCGTAGTTTTGGCCTACTATACCACGCTGACCAGGGTTGGTATAGGGTTTGTTTCAAATTTTCCTTCTCTTTGCAGGAAAAATATGGCCTGGCCCTATTAATAATAAAATATTAATAATAAAAATTCTTTATTTAAAACTAAAAACACAGATTACAATATTACAAATGTGTTTGATAATGACTGCATTAGTGAAACACTGTGGCGCAGTCACTAACGCCCACCTTTGGATCTGATGCAAACGTGCCACTACATTCTACCACATTACAACTCTACAAACTAAGCATGTGGAGTATAACGTAGAGGATTTGAAAGTGTATGTGTGTTGTGTGTGTCTGTGCGAGCGTGTGTGTGTGTGTGTGTGTGTGTGTGAGAGAGAGAGTGTGTGTGTGTGTGTGTGTATCTGTGTGAGTAGTCTTAGCGTTTCAGTAGTACTTGTCTCTAAAGGAACCATCTTAGTTACAAGAATTGGTACAAGAGACCAGCTTGCAGATATAATGACCAAAGGTCTTCCGAAACCCACCTTTGATCTATTGAAATCTGCACTAGCCATAGAGTAAGAAGTGAGAGCGCCTACCTCTTTGGCACTAGTTTTGGTTTAGGGGGAGTGTTGAAAGGACGGCAAACCAAACTAGTACAGCCTACTTGGTGATTGTCGTTGACTAGAAGACTCATGCGTGACAAGACAGTGTAGCCTAGTAACGTTTTGTTTAATTTTACTTGTCAAAAAAAAAAATACAATCGAGTCTATACTAAAACAATTTCGGGTTTTTGTTGTAAATTAGCATTTTATCGAGGCTTTCCATATTAGTGCAACTACAAGAATGGTTTCGACAAAGTAACCAAGCAAATTGTTTACTATTTGCCTTTCAGGTTTTTGATCGCAAAATTTCACAGATTATTAAGCTTACCTTGGGACAGACTATATAAAAACCAAACTTTTAACTCAAACTTATTATGGTTTTTATTTTTTTCATTTTTAATGAAAAAACAATGTGTCTTGTTCAAAACATTCTTAAGATTTTCTATTATATTTTATGTCTGGCTGTAAACTATTCTACTTAATAATATCGTAAACAACAGCTAAATAAAACTGAAAGTAGCCGGTTTTATGTGTGTCAAATATGTGTTGTATAATCTATGCTATGACATTTGATTGGAAAATTATGGCGATTGCCGCGATTGGACATTGTTGCAACACTTGCAACGCAACTCATCCAGTGTGTGACTAAAGGGCCACAACTCAGCCTATGCTATAGTCCCTAAAAGTGACCACAGCGCTGATTTTCAGCTGAAGCCCAAAGGTACCTCACGGACGTGTGCACAGTTCAATTACAATAAACAATATGTGAATACAATAAACATATAAATAAAAGTGATAATTACATACATTAATTACATAACATACATTCTGTTAATATAATAAAGATATCAAAAACTAGTTAGTTGGAAATTTATAGATATAAGAGCAGAGAACAT